TTGCAACGTGATCCTGAGCAATTTTCTGATTTCGTGCAACCTTCTGGGACTGCCATTGTGGCTTACATTGTTACTGTGCTGCCACCCATGGTTCAAAGACTCCCCAGCTGGTGACCCAAGGTGACTAGATTTCAGTGCAGCTTCCGGGCCAGGGCGGCCAAGAAGAAAGGCCTGGTGAGATCCTCCTAGCCAGTGAAAACCCTCGGGAACACACTCTTGCTGGAAGAGCCCCCCACGTGGGCTGGGGGGACACAATTCCAACCGTCTGTTCCAGCAGCCCAACGACCAGGAGGGGGAGGGGTGGGCAGGCTTCCTTCTGTTTCCTGTAGGTGGGGCCCACCAGGGTCAGTACCATCCAACACCAACTGGGTCACTGGGTCTTGCTCTGAAGGACCCTGAGGGGGAAGCCCTGCCTGTCCCTTGTGGTGCTGGTAGAGAATTTCTCGTTGTCTGCATTCAGGTGACTTGTGCTGGACTGTGGCTTGGTTACCAGCAGTGCCTCTCCCTTGTCCTCTCCTCTGAAGCCTCTTTATTCCCCTTCCCTCCTCTCAACCCCCTTCTGGGCTTCAGCTGTAGGCTGCTCAGAATCGCCTTTTTGTTTCCGAGTTGGCCCTCGGATGGGGCAGTTCCCTGCTGTCTGGGATCGCCAGAATCCTAGCCTGGCTGCGGGGTGGGGCGGCGGGCCTCCTGCCACCCGAACCAAACCAGCTCCTCCGCACAGGCCCACAGCAACCGGTTCCTCCACATTCTCCCTGTGGAGACCTGCAGGTTTGAAGGGCCTCAGACGTGCCTGTGCCCCTGCCCAGCTGTCAGGGGCTGGCCTCTGAGGGGTGGGAGGGAGCCAGTGGGATCTTAGGATACAACTGAGGTATGGGCTGTGGTGATAAGAGCTGTAAGAGCCCCCAATAGAATGATCTTTTAAAAAAAAGAGAGAGTTGAAGACCCCCCCACATTGGTATTCTCCCAGCTTGGCTTTCTCTAGCCAGAAAACCCCTATGGAGATACCCTCCCTGGTCCCAAAAGGCCCCATCCCCACCAAAGCTGTGTGTGGTTGTTGAGGGGTAAACACGGATTCATTTGTAAATCCGCCACCCCCCCCTACGGAAGCATTTTGGGGCACTGTCTGGAGCCTTGGGATGGTTTCCTTTTGCATATGAATGACTATTGGGGTGGGGAGCTGCAAGTCAGAGTGGCAAAGGGTTATGGCTGCACCACTGTAAAGGGTGGCCCTTTCCTCCCTGGGGCGGCGGGGTGGAGGGGGTGCCTCAAGAATAAAAGCTCATTTGAAATAATGTAAAAAAAAAAAAGAAAAAAAAGAAGAGGAAAACCCCATCAAACGTAACATGCCACCATGGCTGGCCTAGGCCAGGCCCCACCGCCTCCCTCCGCAGCACCACGGCAAGGCCCTCCTTTATTGACATCCGGTGAAATAAATGGCCCAACGCACAGCGAGCTAAGGACTTTCATCTCGGCCGGAGCTGCTGTCCGGGTGATAAATTAGGGCCGAAAGCCCGGGGACATTAAGGCACTCCAGTGGGCCTCCGGATGCCTGATTGTAGAGGTGACAGCGTCCTCCTCGCTCCGACCTCATGTGTACAAGACCAGGCCCGGCCTGCTAAGTGGTGACTCCTTGCCTGTGCTGCTTCGCCCTCCCCCTGGGAGAGGCCCCGGAGGAGCCGGAAGCAGGAATGTCTGGTCTTGTGGGAGCCTCTGTTATCTTACAGGAAAGGCCAAGCCCTCTGCACAGCTGAGCATTCTCAATGGCAGGTAAGCGCCCCATCGTCGCAGGGCTCAGAACCTGGTCCCTGGCTGCCACCTGGCCCTGCCTGGCTTGTTTACCCTGGCAGGCCTCTGTGAATCCTGGTGAAATGACATGTCCCCCTCCCAAGTAGAAGGTGACCCTTTAGGCCCAGGGTCTCATTGCCACTTCTGGCCTGGTCTTCCTGCTTCCGTGGGAGATTGTCCAGCTCAGGGGTGGGAGGTCAGGTAGAGAGAGGCACAGTTTGGGGCGCAGGCAGCCTTTAAGGGGAGGCCCAGGCCAGCCAAGCCTCCTTCACAGCGGGCTTTGATGTCCACCACCACCTAGAGAGCACAGGGTAATCCCAAAGAAACAAGAACAACAGAATCCAGCTCTCCCTCCCTCTGCAGTCCTGCCTTCTGTCTCCGGATTTCTCCTTCTCCAGCTCCTCCCGGAGGAAATTCAGAGCTTTTGTTTCATTATTATGTAATTGCTGGCTGGGGAGGGCCCCCAGATTCCTAGGGAGGGAGGCCGGCCGACCTGGGTACCTGCTTTGCTCCTCCTGGGTGAAATACTTTGAAATGATTAACCATGCTGGGGTTAGCTGCTCTGGGAGAGCAGTGTGTGGCCACGTTTGAAGCAGGCCTGGGAGAGGGCTGGCAGTTACCCAGCGTGCAGGTGGCCCCGCCGGCCCGGGCCCTGATTGAAACGAAGAAATCCTGGGCGTTGATGGCTTCCTACTTAGACCTGGCATGTCGATTGAACATGCAACAGGGTCCTCAGAAAAGCCAGCTGTTTTTTCTGGGGGGCGGGGGTGGGTCGGCAGTCCTGGTGCAGGGGCCCAAGAGGGAGGAGTGATTCTGGATTTAAGACGCGGGACCCCTCTAGAGTGCTTGCTCTTGGCAGAGCTCTACTTGTATGATCTCATTCACTCCCCCCCACCCCTCCTCTAGATACCTTTGTCCATGCCTTACAGAGCGAGGCACAGAGGTGAAGCACCATCCTTCAGGCCAGCCTGCTGACCGAGGTGCACCGCGCGTCTCCTCCGGCTTGGCCTGCCCAGGGAGTTCCCTTTGTCCAGACATATCGGACAGTTGATGACCCGACTTCAGGCCTGCCTCTCCTCTGTTGGGATTCTCTTTTCTCCCTGTCCATGACACCATGGAGGAAATTTAACACCCACAAAAACACCACAGGGGTGGTCCTCCTGGGGAGCCCCTGGCCTTTGAGCCCAGGCCTTTCCCTGGAGGGAGGAGGCAGTTCCCTGTAATGGTGTGTTATTTCCTAAACCCTGGAGAAAGCAGACTGCTGTGACTCAGGCTCCGGATGTGGGAGGGGGCGGGGTCTGCTGTGGCCTGTCCTGGGGGAGGCCTGGCGGGCTCAGGGGAAGAAGGCTCTGGAGTGTGGGGGAGGGGAGAAGGCCAGGGAGCTTGGGGCTTGCTTTGTGGTGTTGGCAGCCTCTTTGGCCACTGCTTGAAGATATGCTTCTTGGGGAGTGTCAGCAAAGGGTCATTCAAACGCATTCCACCATTCCCTGAAGCTCTTATTTGGAATCCCTTGCCCCGTCTGCAATTGAGGTGGCCACAGTTGAGGGTGGGAGGGTGGAGGGGCGGAGACAAAATAAGAATGTAATGTTACTTCCCAGGCCTTTCCTGACCTGGAGGCCCTGTGGGGTCAGACTAGAAACAACCAAACCTGAGTGGACTTTTGACCCGTGACCACCCTGTGTTTTACAGCTCTCATGCTTTGGGGAAAAGGTCGCCAGGCCTTTCTTTCATGGTGCCACACGGGTGGGTTTGAACCGCCAACCTTTGGGTTTGTGGAGGTCCCATGGACAACCTTTGGTTGTTGTCTAGGTTACTGTCCCGGCCCTGCCGAGCACCAGCTGTGTGGTCTCAGACAAGCGAATTGGGCAGAAGTGCTTGCGAAGGATTTTGAAGAGTGGCACAAACTTGGCAAACCCGTCCTGGAGTTGATTCTGACTCAGCGAGCCTAGTCCAGGATAAATGTCCAGAGAAACCCATCACTGGGAGCGCTCACACGGCCCATGGATGCTGGGAGCGAGGGGGTTGCCGAGGGGAACCGGGTTGTCCGACACACTGGGTGACAGTGTCAGAGGGGACAATACCAAAGCCATGGAGTAAAATTTCTGTGCACTCTGTGCCAAAATATACTTCTAAAAATTTACATAGACATATCCTTGTCCTTATTTTTAAAAAACCTTTCGGGGTGTGTGTGTAAAGCCCAATTTACTTGTATCAACGTCCTTCCCGCCTCCTTGTGGTAACCCTGGAACCGTCTAATGAGCTGTCATCATCACCCAGTGACGTCACCAGTCTCAAATCACGTCGTGTGTCTGTGTGCTGCTACTTCGGTTGCTCCCACCATTGCTGCCAGTTTTTGTTTTTTTTTAAAATAGTTGCCAGCTTTGTCTGATTTTTTTGTTGTTTTGGGGCCCTTGGGAGTTGGGTGGTTAGTGTTGGCGAGTCCGTAGTCTGAGTGTTTCTGAGGTTGAAGTCAGTCAAAGAGGGAGGAAGAAGAAAAAGGTGTCCACTCAGGTCACTAATGGTATTAAAACCATCCATGCAACTCGGGGCAGGCAGAAAGGTTTTGCAGAAACATTTAGCTCATAGTCATCCTCTTAGAAGTACGATGTATTAAGCAACATGTCAGGGGAGCCGCTGGCTTCTGGAACAGGAAGCCATGCTCCACAGGCGCTGGGTTGGCACAGCAGGCAACAACAATGGGCTCCGCCCTAAGGGTCCTGGGGCTGGCCCAGGAGGGGCTTCAGTCAAGGTTGCGATGATCAGAACCCACTCAGCACCCAGCCACCACCACTGCCACCAGCAGTCGACAGCCACATAGATCGCATTTTATTCGGCGGTGCTAAAATGGATGGTTAATAAATCAAAGGATTCTGGGTGGCCCTGAATAGGAGGGAGGTCTCTCGTGGAGTTGTGGTGACACCCTAATGACTCGAACGAGGAGGCCAGGCTGCTCTAAAGGATGTAGGAGCAGGTTATTTCTGGCCCTGCACGCCCCCTCTACAGAACATAGGTTCTTCAGCCACTTGGCTCCTGATACCCAGGCAGACGTTCCGGTATTATTAAGGATTCAGTGAAATGTCACAGGAGGGGGCAATTCTGCTGCTTGCTGCGCCATGCCAAGCTGTTCTCCTGAGTCACTGTCCTCTCCCTCTTTCCTCCCACGCCCACGTTAACCCTGTCGAAGCTGGCCTTCTCTGTGCCCTGGGTGGGGCTGGCAGGGCCCGTCTGCTGTACACGCCAGAGACACCAGCAGGAAGGTCTTTGTAGATTAACGATGAGGATTCTCTCGGGTGGCTGTCACCATTCCAAGTTGGTAAAGGACAGAGGTTGAGCCATAGATCTTCATCAGAATTTAAACCAGTCAAGGAAATGGAGGGGGGATAGGTGAAGGGTGCGGTGGAATCTCTTGGATTCAGCATACTGGAAAAGATGCTGAGGCCTGCTCTGTGATCAGGGCCTCAGCGGGGATCCCCACCTTCCTGCCCTCCCCAGAGACTGAGTCCCCCCTTGGAGTGGACAGGCTCTCAGTCACAATGCCAGCCTTCCCAATCCTGGCAATTCCGGAGGGCTGGGAACCCGGCAGGCATTTCCCAATCTCTCTCCCTAAGGGTCTGTGTCCAGAGCTTCTGCTGGTGACAGATGTGTGTGTGTTTTTGGAATCCATTTAATTCCTACCCCTTGGATATGGGTCCCCCCCCACATTAAACTCTGGGGGGACTCGGGGTGTTTGTAGCAGGGAATAGAGTGGTTCTCCATCATCCCCCCCCTTCGGAGACCCTCTTTAGGGGTGCATCCTCTGCCACTTCCTTTTTTCCCAGGCAGCACTGGGCTTGAGTAAAAGGCAGTGAGAGACCGCATTCATCTCCAGCCTGCCCTCCACCCCCCTCCCTCTTAGAAGGAAAGACATTTAATGTTCAAAGGGGACTTTCGGGCCCTTCAGCCCGGTTGGGTTTTTTGTTTTTTTCAATCTTGAGAGTTGAGGACACCTTTGAGAAGGTGAAATAGGTGAGATCCCTCTTGTTAGGGACTTGCGTTCACATGTGCTGAATAGTGATGAGTGGGTCTTGGGTCTATGGACCATTCTCACAGACGCCAGGTTAAAAAGCTCGGGCTGCCCCATCTGGGTCCTCCTCCCTGCATGCTTGGATCGGAAGGAGACTTGCCTACCTTACTTCCTGTTTTGCTTCTGTCCAGCCTTGCCTCCTGGTTTTACTTAAGTTTCCTGGGAGGCAAATCTGAGACCCAAGCATACACACACACCTACACACACACCTACACACACATAGACCTACCCACCCACCCACCCGGTGGTTGGGAACATCCAGGAGATTGGCCCCAGGGGTCTTTGCTTAGACCCTGTCTCTCAAGCATACACTCTGCAGCTGTGGGTCTCTCAAATGGGGCCCCCAGGTGGGCTTGTTAAAACCTTGCTGGAGTCTGGAATGGGGCCTCATGCATGGCCACTCCCCTGCCTATCCATAGAGACAGAACAGGTATCAGAGGAGCTAGACTAGGGAGAGAAGCGGCTGACAATCCCACGGAGCTGACCTGCAGTTGAAGATGGGGGTGGTACAGGTCTGGGCAGCGGTCAGTGAGTTGCATCTATTGATGAGGGGCGGGCAGCAGCAGTGACCTCTAGAGGGAGGCGGCCAAGGTTGCCTTTGCCAGGAGGAGGAGGAGGAGGAAGAGGAGGCATTGTTCCTTCCAGAATCCAGCTGTGCTCCAGGGGAAGCACAGAGACAATCCTATTGCTGTGCCGCCTTAGTGTGCCTGCTCATGTGCTATCTTCTCGCCAGAGGTCCCCACAGAGAAGACACAGCGTACGAGAAAGCCAATACCTTTTGCTAGCCGGCTTTTAATTCTTGCCTTTCAGGGACCCTGCTTCTAGGACCTGCCTCTTTTAAGCCCTAAAACATGTTTCTTACACACCTGTATTCTGACACGGAGTTTTCTGGTGGGGGGTTAGGGGGTGGGTGGGGTATCAGACCCATGCAGTAGAGTACAGCCCACACTGCTTGCAGTGGGCGCCAGGTCCAGGATGCTTGGCCTGCCTTTGTCCATCTGGTCTTTTTTTTTTAATGCTCTATCAGACTCCCCTCATCCCCTCATTATTGGCTTTGGGTTTTGCACCTGCTGTTTGTTTTTAAGGTGAAATTGAAACCCTCTAAATACGTCACGTTTTATTTTCTTGAAGTTGGTAAAGCATTCCAGGCACCTGTGAAGATCAGAGCCCTAGCACGCACAGTGAAAAACCACCTTCCTGGCTTCCCAGAGGCAGAGCCTCCATCCCCTGTTTTAAAGTGGCCTCAGACCTGTTTTTCTGGGAATCTTAGAGACTTTTGCAAACATTTCTGTACGGCAGCCTTTTGGGAGGGGTGGGGTTACTGTAAGGGGCTCTATTAATGGTATTAGACACACAGCCTTTCTAGTCTGGTGTAATGGTTACGAGCTGGACCTGTATCAGTTTGTGTAGGAAACCCAAAATCAAACTCATGAGCATCGAGTGTATTCTGACTCATTGCGACCCCATTGGACCGGCTAGAACTGCCCTTCTGGGTCTTGGAGACTAACTCACTCTGGGAGTTTGGAAGCTCATCTTCCCACTCTGAGCCACTTGGGGGACAGTAGAGCTGCCTGAGCGAGCTGGAGGCCGCCCTCTCTATGGGAGCTGAGTGCCCGGGCTTGCCCTCCCAGAGGGGCCAGGCAGTTGGTGGTTTGGACTGCTGACCTGGTGGCGAGCAGCCTCACTGTAGACCACCATGCCACCAGCGGTCTGTATGTGTCCCAGTGCCTCCTTATTCTTCATAGCAGCTGCAGAAGAGTCCATTGTTGGCTATAACAGAAAATGATCAGGCCAGTGGGGTCCTGGGGACCCTTAAGTTGTTTCTGGAGTCCCCGGGCCAAGCAAAAGGTTAACAACTTAGAGCTTTGAGTCAACAACCCCAGTCAACCCCGAGGCCTCTGCTGAAGGATCCCTGGCCCGAATCTGGGACACCTTCAGCCATTGAGCACCCATGGTTACCACTGACACCAGGTGTCCTCATGAGTCAGACTTGACTCCACTGCAGATGGTTCCGTGGTCCCAGGTCCCATAGTCGGTGCACAGCGTGGCTCACTGGTCACTGCATTTATAGAAGGTGCTTCTAGTGGGAGTTGATATTGGAAAGTTTTCATGGGGTAGGGTGGGCTGCAGGAATGATGGGGGTTTTTCTGGGGGTGTGCACCCATCGGATTAGTGTGTTTGCTCTCTCCCTAGTTGCTCCGTGCCTTTGGGCCAACCACCCAGGCCCTCTGGGCCGCTGTTTTGAATTCTGTGGGAATCCTCCCCAAGACTGGTGGTGGTGGTGATTGTGGAGGTGGTGGTGGTGGGGCGGTGTCTGTTCACCCTTACGATGCCGGCGGTTAGTGTTGAATGTCCTCCCGGGGCCGTGGCCCCCGCACCGCCTGCTGTGGCGAGTCCTTCCGACTCTGAGCCCCACCGTGAGACAGTGGAGCGGCCTGTGAAAGCAGGATGCCACCCTCTGTACCAGAGCCGCGTGCCAGGGCTTCCCTCCCAGAGGGGCTGGTGGATTCGAACCCGCTGACTGTCCTTTGGAGCAGGTGACACCTCCAGGGCAGCGGTGTCTCGGCAAATGACTCTGAAACCCACTCAGGGTTTTCCGGAAGTGTCCATTGCCTCGGTTGCATGATGAAGCAGGGATTTTTCCAGCAAGTGGTCCAGGAAATAAGGAAGGGGCCCATCCATTGTCTTCCTCGCTGCATCTGCCGGGAAGAAGCTTCTCCTCAGAGGCCTCTCCGTTTCCATGGCTGTGCCAAGGGTCCGTGCCAGTTCGCTAACCTACATGTTCAACCACACGCTGACCTGGCGATCTGTCCTGAGCACAGCCAGGCACACCCGGTGGAGCAGGTCCCTGTCACTCTGGGTGTGGGGTGGGGTTGCCACAACTCAGAAGCAGCTTGAGGATGAGGCTTTTGGTCAGGAGACCGGTTTGGCCTCCCCCTGTCATGTGCTGCCAGGTTCAGCCTGCGTGTGGGAGCGCTTGTCCACAGTGGAAACTGAGAGGCGCTTCAGCCCACCCTCCAGGGGCACGTCTTCCCCTCTGGCCATCTTTGCATTCCGCCTGTTCTTTTCACTCCCTGCCCCCCTCACAGAGTTCCCATTGACATGGACGGGGGTCTTTGGCCTTGGGCTAGGGGGGTCTTGGGATGTTTAAATAGGGGCGCTGGGAGAATTGAATGGCAGGGGCTGGGTGGCCGGTGGCGCTCAAGGGGAGGCTGACAAAAGATGGGGCCACCCTTCTTGGGAGAATTGTCATCCTCAGATGCAATGTCTGTGGTGACTGAGCCGTGAGAATTTGGGGGCAAGTGGGGCCACTTCTTTTTCACCCAGTTAGGCATTGTTAGCCTTGGACACACAAAGGGACTTTGTTCTCATGTTCAGCGAAGAGGTAGGTTTCCTCCTTCATTTTCTTGAAATCTATCTCTTCTTTCATAATTTTCTTCTTTTGCCATCTAGTGTGTATGGGACACATTGTCCTCTGGGATTGGAAGACCCCAGTGACTTTGGAACAACCTGTGGCAGCTGGGCCCTGGCCTTGTTGGTGGGGCAATAGGTAAAGGTGGGGACTGTGGCCAAGCGGGCCATTTTCATGATTTCCATTGGTGCCACAGGAGGGCTTGCAAACAAACCTGGATGACTCTCCGGGTTGCTATTTGACGTTTCCCAGCTTTTACACTTTGAGAATTACTTAACCATTTTACGAAAACGCGAGGCACGCCAGTGAGCTTTGTCTGAGATGGGGTGACGCGCTAGCAGGTGTGTTCCAGGAGGAGGGATGCTGCACAGAGCGGCCCTGGAAGTTTGGGACCAAAAAATGTGCTGGCCGACGTCTGTCCAGGGTCGCAAGCTGCCCCACTGCTTTCCAACCTGTGGTCCTGTGTGTGTCTCTTACAGATCCCGGCTCTGCAGAGCGAACAGCCCAGAAAAGAAAGTTCCCCAGCCCTCCGCACTCCTCCAATGGCCACTCGCCCCAGGACACGTCCACAAGCCCCATTAAAAAGAAGAAGAAACCTGGCTTATTGAACAGCAACAGTAAGGAGCAGGTAAAGGGCCCCGCGGCTCTGACTCGGCACAGGTGGGGCAGAGACAGTAGGGAGAAGCGCTGGGGGCCCCCAGGTTGGTCTACAGCTGGGGTTCCCACTGTCCTGCACAGAAAGGGCAGCCCCCGTTGTGACCACGGAACCATTTCCAGTGGGTTTCCAGATGTTTGGGGGACAGGTCACTTACCCAAGTGAGATACAGAGAATGATGACGAAGGGTATTAAGGTTTAGGGCTCTCCCCGGAGATGTAGGGTTTCCCCCTTCCAGGACTCAGTTTCTCCTCCTGGGCCAGTGGGACGGCTGCTGAGTTCCCTGGGAGGCGGGGTGGAGGTGGGGGGGTGATGGTCCCACGAGGTCTAGTGTTGTTCTCTCACGGTCTCGGTTTTCTCATCTGTAAAAGAGGCTCACGGCCAAGACGCACCTTCTCCATAGGCGGCCATCTGTAATAGATCCATTTCCTCGATTGGCCCTCCTGGCCACTCCGCTCCATAGAGGGATCTACCGGCCAGTTTGGAGATTGTCTGGGGGAATCTTTTGGCTTTAAAATGCTCCCCGAGGAGAGAGGGCCTATCACAGTGGGACCCATCAGTGCCTTCCACGTGTCCTGAGGGCCAGCTTTCCTAGTGTATGCACACAGAACCTCTCCAGCAGGGGTTCCTAGGGACCCAGCCTTCCAAGAGCTTTTTGCATATTGAGCCCTGGGGATCTGAATGAAACAGGCCTGTTGCTTTCTGGAAGAGAAACCGGGCAGGTTCAGTGCCTGGGGTCTGTGAGCACAAGTATATTTCCAGGCTTAAAAGGATCTGCTGCTTCCTCTCTGTGGCGCCAGGTCAGCGAGCCTCAGCGAGTCTACCTGGGCTGATGCAAAGGGAATTGAACTTCAGTGGCTTTAATAGGAAGGAGAAGTCGATTTTGAAAAGTGGCACCCAGTTGATTCTGGCTCGTAGCGACCCTATTGGACAGGAAACAACTGCCGCGGCAGAAGCTGACTCTTCAGGTCTCCCGGGGTTGACTCTTTTCCTTCTGCGACCGTTCCCCTCAGCCACCTGTCTATTGTTGGGCTGAAAACTGAGCCCCGGGGCTCTTGTTGGTTCTTCCTGGTATTTCTAATGATATGTTTATACATGCACCGTATATACTCGTGTATCAGCCGGGTTTTTCAGCACATTTTAATGCAGTTTTGTGGTAAAATTAGGTGCTGATAGTCGGGTTGGCTTATGCTGGAGTATATGCGGTATATAAGAAAGCATTAAGTGTTAGAGAGCTGCAGATGTTTGGCCACCACGAGATGATTTCTTTTAGTCTTCCCAACATTTAAGGATTGTTCACAGCAAGCGCTCTTGTCCGGACTGCATGGACTGGGAGATCGCAGCGTAGCTGCAGCCGAGTGGGGGTGCACCCACTCCATTCTGCTCTCCTGCTGACTGGATGCTTGGAGGCCCTGGAGGGTACTTGACTTGCGATGCTTATCAAGCCTCTTTGCCGCTTCCTCCCTTTCCTTTACTCTAGCTTCTCTTCTAGGAGCTCTGGTGGCGAGGTGGTTATGTTGGACTGCTAACCCCAAAGTCGGCAGTTCAAAACCACTAGCTGCTTCAAGGGAGAAAGATGTTTCAGTCTTGGAGAATCGCAGGGGAAGTTCAACCCTGACCTGTAGGGTCGATAGGAGTCAGCATTAACTCGATGAGAGCGAGCAGTCTCTTCGAGGTTCTTGTCTTCTAGCAGGGGCATCTGCTGACTGAACACCAAACAGCACAGCACGTTTCCAGCTTGATCACGGAGACCTTTTGCTACTAGGTGTTATGATATCACTTGAGTTTTGTCTCGCCGCCCCCCATTATTTAGAGAATACTTTATTAGTTTCTGTAATCAAACCCATGTGGATAAGACCTTAAAGATTCAATATTGTGCATTTGTTACCCTTTTACAAATGGGAACAAAGTTTAAGTTGAACATTTCTAGACCAATATCACCGTTAATTTCTGTACAATGCCAACTCAACAGAATACAACTGGGATACTTTTCCAAAGTCGACAGCACAGCCAAAGTTCCCCAAAATTCAAATTCATTCTATCCATCCATCCATCATCCATCCATCATCCATCCATCCATCCATCCATCCATCCATCCATCCATCCATCCATCATCTATTACGCATCAGTAGCAGCAGCGGCATTTCCAGGTTCTGCAGTTATCTGAACAAAAATTACAGACATCCAGCACAAATCAAAACCTCAGAAAACAGCAAAGTTCTGTAAATGTTGGGGTACCTGGCCTCCATTTTTTTAAAGTTAGCTTTTCAATCATCATTGGAAAGAAACACATTCTAGAGTCACATCATTAAAAACCAGCTCTGATATAGCACAGTCACTAGTACATATCACAAAGCAGGTACAACGTATTTTCCATTCACAGAGGCATGATACAGTACGGCCCTACATCTGTAATACTAGAGGATACAATTAAAAAGCCATTATAGTATCATTGAGTTTTAAAGATGTGCTTCATCTCCCCTTTATCTCCATACTTTCTTAGGGTGGATTTTAAGAAGAGCTTTAAAGCAAGTACTTTATTGCAGGAGGAAAAGTGTCCTGGGGTTTATAATGAACTTCGTTCCATCCCATGGCCCAGTGGCGTCACTTCTTGGGGAGGGCAGAACCCCGGGTGGTTTTCCTGGTACGGGGAGTGTCCTGAAGCCAGAAGAAAGGGCCCTCTGTTATTGCAGCAGAAGGGCAAGTGTCATTCTCAGGATATTTGAATTTTAAGTGTCTTTTTCTGGGTTTTCGATGTTTTCGCTGATCCAAGAATGGAGAAAGAATCTGTTAGCCGATTTGTGCAAAGTAGCTCCAGGTATCCTTAGTTCAAACATAGCCAAAACACGGTGGGCCTGCCTCAACTTCTTTGGTACACACCCTATTTCTGTCTTTCTGTGTGTTTATCTGTCTTCTGGCATAGCTATTTGTTTATCAGTCATCTATCTGTCTCTAGATATGGAGCCCTGGTGGGGCTATGGGCCAGTCCTTGGGCTGCTAACCGCAGGGTCCGTGATGCGAACCCACCCTCCCGTGTGTGGGAGAAAGGTGATGTTTCCTTCTCCCATAGAGGTACAGCCTTGGCAACCGTGTATACGGTGTCTGTTTGGTGTCTGTTTCTTCCTCTTCGGGGTCGGAACCGACTGAATGGCAGCGGGTTTTGGATGGATTGGTAGGTGGCTAGATTGATGGATAGATGAGCTTGATGGAGCAACAGTTAAGTGCTCCCTGTTAACCGAAAGGCAGGAGGCTCTAATCTACCTGCTAACTCCACAGGAGAAACACCCGGGCCATCAACTCCTGTAAAGATTAAGAATCAAACCAAACCTGTTGGCCTTGGCTCAGAAGGGCCCTTGCAGGACAGAGTAGGACTGTCTCATAATCCGGGTTGTAAGGCTGTCATCTTTGTAGCAGCGAGGGCCTGGGCTCTCGCCCGCAGAAATGTAAGCCAGCCAGTCTTTCTAGTTTGCAGCCAGCCTCTTGATCCCAGCGTCCTCAGACTCCTTCTTACAACCTGGAAGCCCTTCTACAACCCGACTTAGGAAAGTGGAGATCAACTCAAATCACAGGGAGAACAAACCCTGCCCCGTGAAGGGAACGCTGGCTCTGGAGGGTTGGATTCTTAAGGAGCACTACGGAAAAGTGCGGAGTGGAAAACATACTAAGAAATGGGAAAGTAAGCTCCCCCCCCTCACCCCACCCCCAGAGTTTCCACTGCATCGCTTTCACTGTGTACCACATGCATATACGCACATAATCACCTGGGGGTGGGTGGGCTCCGTCTTATTTTGTGGGTCCATGGGTGGTCTTCAAAACAGGGCCATTTCATAAGCTCCCTAGTCGGGCAGGGGGGTAGTGTATTAACAGTTGGCCAAGTTGGAGTGACAGTGGGGAGTCTAGCTGAGGAGGGGCAGCCCCCTTAAATCTTCTTCAATGTGTCCCCGAGTCCCCCCGTCTCTTCTGTTCCCAGGCTGGGTGCCATTTGTCTCTCTGCATGTCTAAGGCCAGAGAGCCGGGGGCACCTTTTTCGCTTGTTCATGTTTACCTGTGTGGCCCCCTCAAGGAATGAGCATTTATGCCCACTTCTCCACACGTGCATCCTGGACTCACCTAGAACACCCAGCCCCTGGTTGATGCAGACCAGGGGTTGGCACACTGTGAACCGAGCGGCCTGATTTTGTAAATAAAGTTTTATTGGTACACAGCTGCCTTTGTTCATTCTAGGATTGTGTATGACTGCTTTTGAGGGAGGAAAGAGGTAGGTGTCTCTTCCCATAAGAAAACCCGCATGGGCAGTTGTACCCTGTCTGAGGGGACCTCTTCGGATTGGAGTCAACTCGATGGCAGGGAGTTAGGTAATTTTAGCGACCACTTTTGTGCAGCATCAGCAGAGTTGGGTCGTTTCCATAGACAGACGACCTGTGAAGTGCAGCTATCTCCTATCTGGCTCTTTCTAGATGAAGTTGGCCAGCTCCTGGTGTAGCCGGAGGTATTCCAGGAAAGGGTTCATGATCGGGCGTGCCCTAGTGCCCTGTTAAACCAGCCTACTGAAGGAGCAGAGAAAGAAGAACACTTACTCGTCGTAACCTGCAATTATCCTCTAATTACACAGGTTGCAACCTGTTCATCTCAGGATCAGGGGAATAACACAGCCTTGTACCGAGCGGAGGAAGAAAAAAAAAAA